CCCCGTTCAGGGACACTCTCTGCCCCGTTCAGGGACACTCTGCTCCATTCAGGGACACTCTGCCCCGTTCAGGGACACTCTGCTCCATTCAGGGACACTCTGCCCCGTTCAGGGACACTCTCTGCCCCATTCAGGGACACTCTCTGCCCCGTTCAGGGACACTCTGCCCCGTTCAGGGACACTCTCTGCCCCGTTCAGGGACACTCTGCTCCCTTCAGGGGTTCAGGGACATTCTCTGCCCCGTTCAGGGACACTCTCTGCCCCGTTCAGGGACACTCTGCCCCGTTCAGGGACACTCTGCCCCGTTCAGGGACACTCTCTGCCCCGTTCTGGCCGTGCTCACAGCCCTGCTCTGCTGCAGCCAGCGCGGGGCTCCCGGTGCCGCTGCCCGGCCGAGGCTGCGGTACCCGGGATGGGCAGGGCACCCCCAAAGCGCAGCCAGACACAGCCCCGAGCTGCTGGGCAGCACGGGAAGGGCTGCAGCACTCACTGCCAGCACTCCTGCATTCCCACAGGGAGCAGCTCTGCGTGCACAGGATCTGCTGATGCCTGGGCAGCACAGAACTGATGCTGTGTGCAGAGCTCAGCTCTGAAGTGACACGGTGTGCTCACAGCAGTGTCCAGCTCCCCAGCACCACCCCTGACTGTGCCATCCCAACACCTCACAATGACACTGAAAGACTCTAAAATCACAGAAAATCCAGGGACTGACAAAGAAAGGCTTGGCAAGCCCTGGGAAAAGTGTTAAAAGTAGGCCCTGGGAAATGTTAGGCCTTGTGCTTGCTGAGATCATGTGGAACTGCACCTATGTAATCAGTGTATGATAAATGATATAATTGTTAGATGTGATTAGATATAATTATTGTTTAAAGAATCATGACAAACTACGTTAGGGGTTTGAGGGGGACCACGAGAAATCCATGCTTGGGTAAAATCAATGTACACAACAGAAAAATGTAAGTTTAATAATTAATGTGTAAGTTATATAATGATAGAGTATAAAAACATGTTCAGCTCAAAACTAAGATGGGTCAGATTTGGGTCTGTGCAGCCCTGACAGCCAGAGCTCTTTAATAAAGCACTTTTATACAATCATTCTGTGGTTATGTGCTGCTGAACACTAACAACAACAGCGACTGCAGGGCAAGGAAAGGGAGCAGTGCTGGTTTTCCTGGGGCCCCCAACACAGCACACACTGAACCAGTTCTGCCTGAGCCTTGGGAGAGAAATTCCCACCTGAAGCTGCTGCAAGCTGGGACACTGATAACAGCAGCAACACCACTGGATCTGTTCTCAGTTTCCCACTCATCTCATGAAAGTATTTGGATGATGGGAATTCCACACCAAACAGGTTTTCCAGTGGCCTCCCTCTGGCTGGAGTGATGCTCCTCCTGAAGGAAAGAGCCCAAATCTACACAGTGGTAAAATCTTGATCAGCACTGTTAAGGTATAGAGCATCTGAGCTTCCAATTGTTTGGATTAGTATTTGCTTGTGGTTTGTTTTGCAGTGCATGTGAGTGATTGCTTTAGAATGCTCGTGCCTTCACTCTGGCTGTCACAGGAGGTGGAAAGGATTTCCCCCTGAATGTAACTTGAATTTTCATCTGATTATGGGATCATTTCTGTGCACCTCCTCCTATCTCCTGGGGGTAAGGTATAAAATTCCCCACTGCAGTAGGTGGGAACAATTTGAGTTTCACTCCAATTTGATTACCCTGAGGCTGTAACCAGAGTGCTCCATAGTGCAGACACACCTGGGCAGGTTACTGCAGAGCCATCCAACACCTGATATGATGAACAAGGATATGTGAAATGCTGGACTTCACTGAGGAACACAGCACCAAGAACCCTGCATGGAAATGGAGTCGCTGACCCATCACAGAACTCCTCCCATCACTGCTACTGAAAAATTAACTCCAGGAACTTTTCTTTGATCCTCATTTGCACCCCGTCTTTCCTGTGATTTTTAAGACTCAAAGGATGGGGAACATCCTGATCTACACAGACTGGTAACAATGCAATTAAAATTACTTGTCTGGGTTGTCCTCAGTTACCATGAACACTCTGGATTTAATGCTATAGCTTGTCACTGGCATTTTTTTTATCAGTAATTATTATATATCTGATTTATCCACGCCCTGAGCAGGGCCACTTTGCTCTGTGGTTACTGCAGGGGCTGGCAGAAGGAACCTGAAGGTTCTCCTCATTCCATGGGAATTGACTCCCAAGCAATGCTGATTCTTTTGGCAGCTTTAACACAGGTACCTTGACATCTGCTGGGAGTTGCTGAGTGTTATATTGTGGATTAACTGTGCTTCACAGCTCCCATCTGTTCTGTCCTGGCTGGTTAATAAATAATTCATTTTATAAACACACCTCATTTGCCATCACCACAACATGTGGGCCAGAGGGAGTCTTTAAATTTGAACTGTTGTCAAAGTGTGAGGCTGAGGCTGCCCAAAGCTCCCACTCCTGTGCCATTTCCCCCATGGGATCCAGGAACAGGATCTGCCCAGGAAAGGTGAACTGAGCAAATCCACGTGAAGAACAGACACCAGCCCTGCCTGGCTCTGGCCCTGCACACAGGAAGGGGCTTCCAGGTGGCAAATGAACTGAAGCCTTTGTAAAATCCCTCTCCAGAAGAGATTTCTCCTCTAACTACAAAGAACGAGCACAGAAACTCCAAAATGATGGTTTGTCTTTGTGAACACTTCCTCCACAACGTGCACCCTGTGGTGACAAGACTCAGCTTTCCAAAGAAAGCAATGGAAAATACACTCCCAAGAAATGGTGTTTATAGGGACAAAAGCTTCGGGAATGCAAACTTAAAGGAACTGATGCCTCTGGAAACGGTTCCAGGCAGAGCAGATGACCATGGTTTGTATTTTATCAGCTCTGGAACGTGGCAGAGATAAGAGTTCATGCTGCAGATAAGGCCATGGACGCGAGGCCACGCTCCCAGCTCGTGTCCCTGAGGGATGGTGTGGGTGCAGAGTGACACCAACACCCAGAGCTGGGGCAAAGAACAGATTCCAGGTCACTCCTGACTTTTACAGAGGTGAGTGCTCGGATCTGCAGCCAATGGAAACACCCACGGTGTGTTTCCTGCCCAGGTACACTGAACAACCTTCAGCTCCCTCCTGGAATATAAAAGATATAGAACAGAACAGAACAGAACAGAACAGAACAGAATAGAATAGAATAGAATAGAATAGAATAGAATAGAATAGAATAGAATAGAATAGAATAGAATAGAATAGAATAGTAGAAAAGGAAGGAAAGAGAAGAGAAGAGAAGAGAAGAGAAGAGAAGAGAAGAGAAGAGAAGAGAAGAGAAGAGAAGAAGAATAGAATAGAACAGAAAATAGAATAGAATAGAATAGAATAGAATAGAATAGAATAGAATAGACTAGAATAGAATAGAATAGAATAGAATAGAAATATAGAATAGAAAATGGAATACAAAAAAAGCAAGTTTGCATATAAAAAATATTTTTCTACTCAACTTTGTTACTGGCAACAAGCAACAAGAACTTCATAATGATTGTTGAAGTAATTGCAGAATTTATCCCAAATTAGTTGTTTCCTGAAATATCCAAAAGCATGCCCAAAATGGTAACGCTGCCCCCAGGTTAAGGTCTCAATGTTGAAGTAATTTTCTTCTGGTGGCATGAAGAACAATAATAAAAGTAATAATTTTGTTTCTGTGTTGCACCACTGCTCATCAAGGGCAGTGCCAAGGGGAGATAATGAGAATACAATGAGAAGACAAGGGAGATAATGAGAACACAACACAGGCCTGGGAGCACGTTGTTTCTGACTAATTGGCAACAGATAATTATCCCACAGGATAAGGGAGGAGAGGGACTGAGCACATGGACAGAAGGTCAGTGCCAAGGCTCTGGGAGCTGGCAGGGAGAGGAAAAAACTGAGGAAATCTGTAATGAAGAGCAAAAATGGCATTTCTAAAACATGATCCCCAAGAGCAGCGGCTGGGGGTAAAGGATGGGTCCCCAAAAGGACAAATCAGCAGAGAGGAGCAGGGTGGACACTCAAAAATGATAAATTTAATGCCCTTTCTGTTCACAGCACAAAGATCAAGACCCCACTTGGGGGTAAAAAGAGTTTCTGCTTTGAGGTGGGAGCTTGTCAGTTGGAAAGGACAGAGGGACATGGGGACATTAATAATCACATTATAATATGATTAATTATTAATAATCACATTAATAATCACCTCTTAATGTGCAAAACTGATGTGAGTGGCCATGAGAAATGGACTTGTGATCTCAGAGGCGTTTCAGGAAAAGCCTTTCCATGTTAAACACCTCACAAGTGAGACTCCTGACAATCTGTGCATGGTTCTGCTCTCCCACTTTCAGGAATCACTGCCAACAGTGCCAGGAGGAGGACCAGGATGGCACATGGAACACTCAGTCTCTCCCCCAGAGCCCTGAGTCTGCCTTTTAACAAACAGGGGGCTGGGAGCTCCCCCTGCAGACACCTGGAAGCTGAGGAAAGCTGTTGTGTATAAAGGTTGCAACAGGATAAAACCAAACAGGTACAAACTATCCTAGAAACAGCCAAAGACAGTCAGGAGAAGGTTCCTAAGCAGGGAATTCCAGCAGAGGCCCAGGAGCTCCCTATGGAGCTGGTGTGGTGCTGCAGGGATTCTGAGACACTGCACCTGTATCACCCTGCAGGTCCCTTCTGGACTCAGCCCAGAACACTCCTGAGCATTTCCAGTGCCTTACTTGGAGCACAGGGGAGTTGTCCAGCACAAACTGCTCCATATGCAGGATGGATCCCACCTCCCCCAGCAGATCTCTCACTTGGTTTAGGACATCAGCAGCTCACGGCTCCTGCCCAGCCCTGGGGCAGCTCCCTGTGCCTTACCTGTCCCTCAGGGCGTGGTTCCTGATCTCCTCCACCAGCTGGAAGACTCGGGACAGCGGTGACCTGAACACATCCACAGCCAGGAAGTTCTTCTGCCACGGGGACACGGTGGCTTTCACCAGGATCTGCTGGATGTAGGCCACGGGAGCACCGACGTACTGCGGGGAAACCACGGCAGCGTCAGGCCCCGGCCTCCAGGGAGCTCCCAGCAGCAGCAGAGCAGGAGCACCTCTGCCAGACTGTGTCTTCCCTTCCCAAATCAGAGGTGGGACGTCAAGAACCAAAGGAGTCTGATTCTGTTTCCCTTGTAGGGACCTTAAAGCTCACCCAGTGGCACCCCTGCTGTGGCAGGGACACCATCCCCTATCTCAGGCTGCTCCCAGCCCCAGTGTCCAGCCTGGCTGTGGGCACTGCCAGGGATGCAGGGGCAGCCACAGCTGCTGTGGGCCAGCAGGAGCTGAGGGCCAGCAGGGCCATGTCCCCTCCCTGTGTCCCCACAGGAGCTGAGGGAGCTCAGCAGGGCCGTGTCCCCTCCCTGTGTCCCCACAGGAGCTGAGGGCCAGCAGGGCCGTGTCCCCTCGCTGTGACCCCACAGGAGCTGAGGGAGCTCAGCAGGGCCGTGTCCCCTCGCTGTGACCCCACAGGAGCTGAGGGAGCTCAGCAGGGCCGTGTCCCCTCCCTGTGTCCCCACAGGAGCTGAGGGAGCTCAGCAGGGCCGTGTCCCCTCCCTGTGACCCCACAGGAGCTGAGGGAGCTCAGCAGGGCCGTGTCCCCTCGCTGTGACCCCACAGGAGCTGAGGGCCAGCAGGGCCGTGTCCCCTCGCTGTGACCCCACAGGAGCTGAGGGCCAGCAGGGCCGTGTCCCCTCCCTGTGACCCCACAGGAGCTGAGGGAGTTCAGCAGGGCCG